GTCACTCAGCTGGTTCAGGCTGGGGAAAGATCCCGACTTCATGGTCAGGATCCACCCCAGAGTCTGGAGTGGCACCTGATATGACTCGGCCTCGGGTGATCTGCTGAGAGCCTGAGCCAGCTGCTCCCTCCCCTTCCACAGCCCAGCGCTCCACTGAGCCCGCGGGGGGCAGAGACAGAGCAAACAGCAGTGACTGACAGTGACCGTTCTCTACTCACTGCGGCGGTGAGAACTTGGCGATTTAGCGGTCATGTCTCACACTTAGAGCCTCCGGGGTACAGATGCAGCATTGGACCAATGCTGCATCCACCTACGTAAGTATAATTTGGGGGAAAAAAAGCCATCCCTTTTCCTTTAATCTATTACAAGATACATTTTGCCTGCTTGAATTCCGGTCTTTAAATAATGGGATGATCTATATGTAGATTCATTAGCCAAGACTGACTCAGAATGCAAGTTTGTTTTAGGTGAATATAATTTTTTTTTTTCTGTTCCTAATACACAGAACAGCATCTATCTGGGATTAAGGGCTGTAGACTTTCTGGAAAGAGTAATCTAATTTTTGTAAAGGCTCTGCATGGTTGAGGTCTTGAAAGCCCCAAGAGGCATGGCTGGATTACCACAAACACCTGCCTCACATAGAATTACAGTCTGAAGCTGGCATATTACATGTGAAGCCTGTGTGCTGCTAGGTGTTAATGAATCATCTGCTATTCTCTGCTGAATGATGGCTGTATATAGGATGCTGCTCTGTACGTATCTTTGTTTGTGTTTTTCATGCAAATGAATGATTGCGTATCTGGGTGTATTTTAGAATTTATAACCAAAAGAAAATGTTAAGGACTGCATGAAAGGTTTTTGTGAATTGAACATTTATTTTTGAATAGAACCAGAAATGCCATCAATATGATCTTAGCACACTGCTGACATTGAAATACCATGGAGTTGTATTAAAAAAATGTATAATGGGAGAATTATTGAATGAACTGTTAATCGGAAATTGCTACGTTTAGTGTATAAAAGTAATATTCTCACACGCTATATGTTTTTGATAAATTTACACAAAAAGTATTCCTAATTTATTTATTTAGCAACAGATTTGTTTTTTTTCCAGGGTTTCCAGTTTAACAGTGGCTTTGTGTAGAGCCATTAGTTTAATTTTGTGCACAGTTGTTGCATTACTAGCTTTGCCAATGCTTGCCCCAGGTAGAAATGGAGGCCATTTTGCTGTACTCGTTTGGGCTAGTTTTCTATGCATGCTTATTAATTTAACAATATTGTTGGTACCCGCAGATGGCTGGTGCATGGCTTTTAACCTCTTTCTGTCCTTCCTATTGCAAAATTATTGCCGGGTGGGACTTTATCGTTGGGGTGGACATCGCATGACGTCCTCCCGAAACGCACCTTGCGCATGGCCGTGATCGCTCACTGGCTGTATCCACTGCGCACACAGCCAATGACAGATCACTGTACCAGCCTGCTGCTGGTACCATGTGATCGCTGAGACTAATCACAGCAGATCACATGACAATTGTAAACAATGAATGGCTTTGATTCATGCCATTCATTGTGTACAATTGTGTTGCTAGCTGTGATTTGTCACAGTGATCACTTGGCACAGACAGGGCCAATCATAGCCCATCTGTACCATGTGATTAGCAGTTAATAACAATATACAGTGAGTGAATCTATTTGATTCAGTAAAAATTCTTGCTTATAGCAGTGAAATTCACTGCTATAAACAGTCATATTGTGTAAAAAAAAAAAAAAAAAAAATCCTGATCAGTTACCCAGAGTAGTACAATGTTACTATGATAACATTATAGTGCTCTGGTCAGTGTGTTTACAGAAAAAAAAAAAAAAAATTTAAGAAAAAAACTATTTTTTTTTTCTACTCACCAGTTAGTGTCCCTGATCACTGCCACACCACTTATATGATGACATTGTAGTGCACTGGTGACAGTATATACAAGGGAAAAAAAATGATGAAAAAACTATTTAATTTCTTCATTTTTTAAAAAAAAATGACAAAAATGTACAACTTCAAAAACCTACTAAATACCCTGGACTGTCTATTTTCCAAAAAGGGGTTGTTTGGGGGATATCTGTACTGTCCCATTTTTGGGCCTCAAATAATGAGATGCTGTCAGTACATCAGGATTGATCGATTTTCAGTTGTATACCATAGTTTGTGGACTCTACAACTTTATTACAGACTAAATAATAAACACTGATTTAGGTTGTTTTCACCAAAGAAATGTAGCAGAATACGTTTGGCCTGCATTTATGAAGAACAATTTTTTATTTGCAAAATTTTATAACAAAAACGAAGTAAAACATATTTTTTTTCTAAATTTTCATTCATTTTTTGTTTAGCAAATAAACGAAAACCCAGTAGTGATCAAATACCACCTATAGATACTCTATTTGTGTGAAAAAAAAAATTTCATATGGGTACAGTGTTGCATGACCATGCAATTGTCCTTCAAAGTGTGACAGCAATAAAAGCTGAAATTATTCCTGGACAGGCAGGGGGAAGTGGTTAGTACACATGGCAAGGGTTTGGTATACCCTTTGGATAATTGACAGTAGCTTCACCGACAGCCAATGAACTGGTCAGCAAGTGCTACATGTTTTCCAGCAGATCAAGTTTTCACACTCTGACGTATTTCGATAAATAGTAGATGTTTGCAAAGAATGGTCACGTAAAGCAACCAGTGAAGTTTCAGTGTACATAGAGCCATATTGCCAAATAAGTAATTTCTGATTTCAATAGGTTACTATACCATAAACTGTTACTAAACCCACAACAGTGAAAACACCCTGTAAATGCTGTAAAGCATGCTTTTTATACTCACTGTTAAACCTAGGGGGTTATTCCTTTGCATTGTGCAAAAAGGATGTTTGATACTGCCTTCTCTGATCCTCCCCTTCTTTTACTGTACCCAATCCATCTGCTGATAGAACAGAGCCTTGGCTGCAGGCTGCACTTGCTCAGTTTGGTGTCTATTGCTAGAGTGTTTTGTTTTTTGTTTCGCATAGGAGAGTGCATGTGATCAACACATGGTCAATCAGTGCTGTCCAGACAGAGGGTTAGGGGTTTTGCAGCCTCATAGGACAGTCAGGGAGCAATGAAAACTCCTCCTACAAACCTTAGCCAGTGTCCTGCTAGACACTGATAGAAGTCATATGGCTTATATATACTTTTGATGAGAAAAGGTATTTAGCAGTTTATATTTACTAAAATAATTGCATTTCCATGTTCTGTGTACTGTGGGAGACCAGATATAGTGAATGCAGGGTTTTGGGTTTAGTAACCCTTTACTTATTATTCTTCACAAGCTTACTAGATTTACCCCTTTGCAGGCCCGTGAAAGCTTTGATAGCTTAGCTAATATGGTGAAAGTGCAATTTCTGGGGATGGGGGATAGTGGTGTTGGCAAAAGCAGCAACACTTGTGCTGATGTAGGTGATAAAAGGACCCTTCCAATCTACTTTATTTTTTTTTGTAGGGAAAAAGCGTATTAGTCCTTAGGCATTTGAAAGATTCATATTTATTGAAAGGTCATAGAGCACCTGCATATCCAACCGTCTGATGTCTATTTAGTAGCATTCACAAGCCTAAATCACAGTATCTCAGGTTTACAGTGATTCTAAAGGCTGCTTTTTGATTTAAAATAAACATGTCTATACTTACCTACTTTGTGCAGTGGATTCACACAGAGCAGCCCTGATCCTCATCTTCTCGGGTCCCCCGCCGGTGCTCCTGGCATCTCCCTCCTGTCGGGTGCCCCCACAGCTAGCAGCTCACTATAAGGGGACCCGCTGCTGTGTGTCCATTCACACACAGAGCCGTGACTCAGCCCTACACCCTCTTTCTTCTCATTAGTTCACTGGCTGTGACTGACAGCAGCGGGAGCCAATGGCTCCCACTTCTGTCCTGGCCAATGAGGAGCAGGAATCCTGGGATAGCTGAGACTCCATTGCACATCACTGGATCGAGAGGGGGCTTAGGTGAGTATTAGGGGGGGGATGCTGCACAGAAAAGCTTTTTACCTTCATGCATAGAATGCATGAAGGTAAAAAACCTTGAGCCTTTACAACCACTTTAATTTTCCTGTAATTATATTTGCTTGTATATGTGTATATTGTGGTTCCAGCTGCTTTCTATAGGAGTAATTTGTAGCTTTGTTTTATGGTGTCTTATACTAGATAATATTGTTCTGATTTCCTAAACTTGGCGGTGTACCTGTGGAGCTTCGGGACCAATGAGCAAATGTCTCTATGAATAAAGTGCATTGCTATTCTTGTTACATCTCTTTTCTTATTCTATTGTGAACTAGATAAGGGAGGGTTCCTGCCAATGAATAATTGCCTACAGTGGACAAATGGGGTTAAGAATTCCAGGCTTAAGCTGGCCATAGATGGATCGGCCAAGTCAGCAGAGACTGGATGAATTTTGATCTATCTATGGCTGTTTCCGCTTGACAGGATTCAAATGTTGGAAAATTTTTCTCTGTCAGCAGCTCTAGCCACTGATTGGTGTATTCTGACAGTCCTGCTGTCAGAATACAATTGCACAGTGGGGAGGATTCCTCCATCCACCTCGCTTGTGCGAATGAGGGAATCTATTGTTTTTTTTTTTTTTCCATCAGCGCACAGCCTGATTGGTGGTTTTTTTTTTTTTTTTTTTTTTTTTTCCCCCCCAAATCAGCCTTAGAAGTGGGTGCACAACATGTAGTGGTGGTCAGTATCTACATTTGTTGCTCTCGATGAAAAATAAAACATGCAGTATTACTAGTTTGTTAAATCTCAGTATAGGTATTCAGCTTTTATGTACAGTATATGTTAATTTGTGTTTGGTATAGTGTTACTTAACACCTACTTTAATGTTCTGTTCCTCATTTTGCTTGCAGGTTCTATGTAATTTAATATACAGTGTAGTATCCATTTGTCGCATATTTCTCATGTTTTGTCTTTGTCTGCCTTCTTGTACATAGGGGATGGAGAATTCAATGGAGCATTGTGCCTCAAGTATCAGAGCCTATAGTAAGTTTGACATTTCACAGTCCTACAGAACTTTTTCATTGTTAGTCATAGTTTAGTTGTTACCATATAAACACTTTCTAAAGCCATTATGGAACCTTAAAAAACATCATTTTATAAATTACCTTTTATTTTACAGATAGAAAATTGTATAAAACATCTCAAAAATACAGGTAGACTGTAGTTTTCAAAGTGCCTAAAGTTAATACTGACCATTATCTCTAGTAGCTGGAGAATAGAAATGTTGAACAGTTCTGTTTTTCAGAAACTTTGATAAAGCAGATTACTTATATAGACTGGGCACTTTGGAGATGGTAGTGCTGAGTTCTGTTTGATCATTTATTGTTGTTAAAACAAAGCAGACGTCCAGGCAGATATTATGGATGCACGGTTAATCCAGCTTTGTATTCATTAAAGTGTTACTAAATCCACACAAAAATCAGTACATACAGTAAAGCAAGCTTGTATACTCACTGTGGAACCTAAGAGGTTAATACTCTGCATTGTGTAAAAAGGCTGTTTGTTTGGTCCTGACTTCTCTGCCCCTCATCTTGTTCAAATGTCCACGATGATAAGACAGTAGCCCTTCTACACATGCTCAGTTTAGTGTGTATTGCTAGAGAGGTTTTTTTTTTTTTTTTCTTGGGAGAGTGCATGTGATCAGCACAGGGCCAGTCAGCACTGTCCAGACAGAGGTCAGGAGTTTTGTATCCTACTACAGCAGAAAGAAAACTCCTACAAGCTTTAACTAGTGATGAGCTGAAGTCACAGGACTGCTCTAACTGCTGATGAGAAAAGGTATTTAGCAGTTTATATTTACTAAAATAATTGCATTTCCATGTTCTGTGTACTGTGGGAGACCAGATATAGTGAATACAGGGTCCTGGGTTTAGTAACACGTTAAGCCCTAAATGCATAGTATTTTCGTCATTTTTACTTTAGGTTGTGCCTTCTGTAATTACTTGTACATCAAGCATTCATAAAAGTAGGTGAGGGGGAATATAATGTCGCCATAGATGGATTGTATGTTAGTGAGTTCAGCCTGGATTTCAGTACAACCAGTCTGTTGGATTTTTTTTCATGCGATTACTGATGGCAGCTATAACCAAATTTGTCCAGTCAATTTTTGGAGTTCTGTGTGGAATGTGTCAGGTTTGGCTTTTTGTTTCTCCACTTTTTTGTGTCACACCAATACAAACAAAAGAAATAAAAATTAGAATACTTAAACATTTGTAATTGAAACAATTTTCTGGGCGAAGTAGTGCATTATTGGCCAAAAATATTGGCATCCCTGCATTTCTGTCAATGACTGTATATTAATAAATCTGATGGTAATGGTGTCATAGAATGTAAACAAATACAATAACTCTCCTCTGAACCAAATCTTTCTGTACTTCAAATCGAATAGCCGTTAAGATCTCTGAAAATAGCCATGAATCCAGATAATTATACTTTTTTCCTTGTTGCATTAGTTGTCAGTGGAGTTCATGCATTGTGCCTATCCTCACAGATAACTATAACTGGGAAAGCAGAAGAGCCTTCAAATGCTGTGGTGCCAGCTTAAAAACAAATTAAATATATTTACTACAGGTTTGGTTCTGAAGACGACTCCTGCAACAAATTCAGATAGTTCTGAAATGCGCCACTTTTTCATTGTGGCAAAATGAATGTTCGTATCTTAGGGAAGTGGACCTAGTTAAGATTAACTCTCTATTGGTGTACAGAAGAGAAGAGATTTTGCGAAAGTGTCTCACTTGTGATCTAAAAATGGCACAGAGTGTACCACATTTTAAGTACACGTTCTAGACAGGTTCATGAATTTGGCACACGCTGTGCCACGTTTAGAGTGCATGTGAGCAGGGAATTCCAGGGCATGTGTTTTACATATTTGTATATGTTATTATCTTAATGGAAAAATCAGTGTTGAATGTGTGCACTGTACTTTGTGATTGTACTGTACTGCCATCTTCTGGTTAATCATGTAACTTGCAGTTTGGGAATACTGTAATTCAATTGTATGTCATTGAGATTTCATCACCATACTGGTTTTTTTTTTTTTTTTTTTTTTTAATAGTTTTTCGTAAATATACCAGGTTTTTTACTTTGCCCGATTTTATTAATTTTTTTCCACTCACATTTTGCAAAAAAAAAAAAAAATAATATTTTTACATCCTTTATGAAGAGACAAAGCAACATATACTGCAAAATATAGTGTAAATGTGGAAAGGTAATAAGATTAGACTTCCTATTGTATTTTGTCTAGATCCAAGAGCAAGTGATCAGCTGCAGTCTTAGGTTGTGCAAGTGGGTGGAATAAATGAGGTAGAGTTGAATCCAGACATATTAAACACCCTTTTATTTGAGCTATGTTTTTTAATCATTGGTTAATCCCACTCTCAATAATAATTTGGACAGCTGCCAATAGAATACACCCCACCCCACTTCCAAACACAACACACACACACACACACTGTATTCACAGCATATGAGCGCAAGCTTATACCTATAAACAAATATGAATATGATAAAGTGTTCCAATAAATCAGCAAACATATATATGTAATTATTTAGTGAAACCGGGAAATATATATTACACAGTCCTCTTATTCACCGCCAAGCTCATCCACCACATTTCCAGTGCTTTTCTTAAAAAGGACCTCTTATAGAAAAGTAGGTCATGATTGTTCTCCCGTAAAGGGGTTAGGCATACCAGATGCTAAGTCCATCTCCTCTCTCTGGCCAGAAATTCCCACTTCACTCTGTTACCACTTTGCTTGGCTTTTGATTCAGGGACATTTAGAAAGAAACCTCTCCATAGTGCATTATCTCTCAAACTATTAGAGTTGTATTCACATAGTATTACACTCACAATCCATTATTAAAAGGGATCACCATATGTTAAATTGTTACTAAACCAAGGACCCTGCATTCACTCTAACTGGTCTCCCACAGTATACAGAACATGGAAATGCAATTATTTTAGTAAATATAAACTGCCTGCTTAATACCTTTTCTCATCAGCAATTGGAGCAATCTTGTGACTTCTATCAGTGTCCAGCAGAGCACCTGTTAAGATTGTAGGAATCATTTTCATTCTGCCCTTATTGGCCTATGAGGCTGCATAACCCCTGATCCTCTGTCTGGACAGTGCTGATTGGCCCTGTGCTGATCACATTCACTCTCCCAAGAAAAAAAAAACATCTAGCAATACAAACCAAACTGAGCATGTGCAGATGGCCCCAAAGGCTCTATTCTATCAGGAGATTACAAGGGGGTGGATCAGAGAAGTCAGGATCAAACAACCTTTTTACACAATGCAGAGGATTAACCCCTTAAGTTCCACAGTGAGGATATAACAAGCATGCTTTATTTCATATACAGATTGATATTACTGTTGTGGGTTTAAAAACACTTTAAATCTTTCTACGATATTACAATCAAAGGCTCACCAGATGAGGATATATTATATCAATTGAATCATATGTGTGATTCCCATAGGTTGATCCACATGCTCCCCACTATTCCCTCGGGATTCGCCATGTATATACAGGGACCTCCTTGCTCCTCACTCCACCACTCTTCTGCCTCTATAGAACTTTAGACTGGTATTAAAATAAACTCCCATAGTGTAGTATTTTAATACTTCAATATAAAATACCACTCACAAGGTACAAAATATAAACACACATCCTATGATATTACTGCGGCTCACCAGGTGTAAATTACCTTTTTTACAAACACCTGAGTCACTAAAATCATCCACACAGGAGTACCTTCACCTCAGATTAACTGCATATAATGGACAAAGGGAAGACTTGCCAAAGAGGTTTGACTCCTTTTTCTCAGTGCGTCACAAACCTGTCATACTCATAAACATGTCATACTTGCCTGCTCTGTGCAATAGCTCCTGGCTCCTCCCGCATAACTAGTGCCCCGCAGTTGCAAGCTGCTTACTATGGAGGCACTGATGCATGCTCACTCCCCATCCCTGCTTTATGCATCCATAAGACACATAGAGCTTTGGCTCTATGTGTCTTATGGCCTCTTAATTGGAGACTGTACATAAGTCACCCCCCTTAAAAACAATCACATTTTTGTTGCATTGCAGCCTACAATGAAGACACACAGTTTTTGTTTTATCCAGCTGTATTTTTTCAGTGCAACTTATAACAAACAAGTGAAAGAAGTCACCAGCATGTCAGCAAAAAATATATCAAAAACAGAATTGTGGAGTTGGAAAAAGGAACAACCTCTCCTAAAAATGACTTGTAAACTCAATCAGGTGTAGATAATCACCTCAATGGCACACAAAGCCATTTGACTGTCAAGGAAACTGCATGGAGGGTGCACACCGCTCAAGGCTGACCTGCCAGAGATCCCATGCTGTTGGATGTGTTTGTGTGCCTGCTTGGTCCACAACCCGCAGTTGGTGAACATAAAGAAAGGAAGTCTGCACTCCAATGTACAAACAGCAGACTTTTTTATTATTTAGTCTATGGAGGTAAAAAGCCAGCAATACATGGCTCTGGGAACATGAAGTTCCCAGAGTCATGTATTGCGGTCTTATGATCTTCATAGGTGGAATAATAAAGAAGTCTGCTGTTTGTACATTGGAGTGCTGCTGCTTCTTTTCTTCATGTCAATTTGACTTTCAACTGTGATCAATTTGATTAGATCAGCATAAAAAGCGCTTTCCTGGAGCATTTCATTCCCTATGAAATCAACTGAAGCAAACAATCAACTATGGGTGGAAAGGCACTGTCGATGGCTTTCCGGGATAAAGTTTTGGACAGGCACAAGTCAGGAGATGGATACATAAAAAAATGTCAAGGGCTTTATCAATGACTAGAAGCACAGTGAAGCCTATTATTAAGAAGTGTAAGATATTTGGTACAACACAGACCCTCCCTAGATCAGGACCTCACTCTGAACTGGATGAAAAAGCCAGAGGAAACTGGTCAGAGAGCCTACCAAGAGGCCTACATCAAGTCTGAAGAAAGGCCATATGCAGTCAGGACTGAACTTTGCCAAAACGCACCTTGCAGATTCTGAGGCCACGTGAAAAAAAAGCGTTCTGGTCAGGTGAGACTAAAATTGAATTATTTGGCCTCAACACTAAACAATATGTTTGGTGAAAATCCAATACAGCTCACCATCCAAATACCACCATTCCTACAGTAAAGCATGGAGGTGATAATATCCTATTATGGGGGTGTTTCTCTGCAGCAGTGACTGGAGCAATTATCAGGACAGAAGGAAAAATGGATGGGGCAAAATACCATCAAATTCTTGAGGAAAATCTGCTGCCCTTTGCCAGAAAGTTGTCAATGGGAAGAAGGTTTACCTTCCAACATGACAATGACCCAAAGCACACAACAAAAATGACCACACAGTGGTTGAAGGAGAAAAAGGTGAATGTCCTTGTATAGCCTAGTAAGAGCCCAGACTTAAACCCCATTGAAAATCTGTGGAATGACTTGAAGACTGCAGTCCAAAAATGGTCACCATCAAATTTAACTGAACTTGAGCAATTCTGCAAAGAGTGGGCAAATATAGCAAAGTTTAGATGTGCAAAGTTAGTAGAGACATATCCAACAGACTAAAGGCTGTAATTAAAGAAAAAGGTGGTTGAACAAAATACACAAGGCGGTGGTCCTATTTCCAGCTCAGTGGCAGGACTCCGTGCCTTAATGAATGGGCACTGCCCAGGGGCCCCAGGTGCATTCGGGGTCCCATGACAATTTTGCATTACATCATGCTGCCAACTGTTCTAGATTTGCTGGGACAGCCATGCTTTTAACTAAGCTGTCCTGGGATGGCCATGTCACAGGCAGCGTCTCTGGAATCTGTACTGTGCCCTCCTGATCCCAGTATTGTGCCCTTCTACCTCCTCCCTATACTGTGCCCTTTTGTGTTGATTAGTCTCTGATTTATGGCATGTTTTATTATTGTTTAAAATAGATTTTATTAAAAATACTAATAAGTATATGTTTAGTTCTATCAGCTATTTAATTCTTGAGAGTAGGTGTGTAAATTGGGGGACGCTGGTAGGGGCCCCAGTGCATTACGTTGCCCAAAGGCTCATGATGCTGTTAAGATGGCTCTGCTCAGTGATTGTTTTTTTTTTTTTTTTCCTTACATGTTGGTGTTATATCTTTCACTTGTTTTATCCAGTTGTAAAGACAGCTGAATAAAACAAAAACTGTGTCTGTGTTCATTTCAGGCTGTAAAGCAACAAAATGTGACGATTTTAAAGGGGGTGATTCTTTTCTATACTCACTGTATAATAATACTTTGTTTAAATGTTCTTTGCACCGCTATTAAATAATCACACACTTTGATTTTTTTCGATCATATTGAGCCTACTTACATCTATGTTGCTAAAAACATGTGGTAAAGCCACTTCTATGAGTCAGTGTTTGTTTAAAATGAACGTGTTCCATGATGGAATGTGTCAGCTTGATCACGAGCACTGGCATTTCTCCTAGATATCCCAGTCACTGCCTACACAAGACACGTCTGTGCTATCATTTTAGGCACGACTGATGACTGTTACACTGGCAGTACAGCAGAACATCCTGGTATTTCAAATGACATATGGCTTTGTAATACATTTTGTGCTTGTTAAATACTGACCAGGTAGAAAGTAATGTATTCCTGGCATAATTATTGTATTATATACCTGGGAATTGTTCAAGATCATTGCAGTTCTGCGTTTTAGTACCTTCTTTACTAGTTTCTATTTAATATTTTGACTTGTGTGGTCATTGGGGGTCATGATATTCTGTTAATCACCTGTCATTTTTTTATATCGCTATCCAGAAAAGGAATATCATTTCACACAGAAGTTTGCTGGACAAACAGTGTTTACAGGCAATTTCAGCCAGCTTTCAATTGCAAAAATAACCAGACAGTTTATGGTAGCCCAATACTACCAGAAGTTTCTATTCCCTCTTTGAAACAATCAAAACTGATGGTGGCGATTTATTTAGATTTTTGTAAAGTTGATGGAAAATACCTGGTAATTGCTGTGTGTGTAACTAGCATATGACTATCCATTAGCATCATACAAGTTTCTCAGATACATGTAAAGATATAGGGAAGTTGAATTTATCAATGTGTTATCCCAGACATTGGGTTCAGCATGTGGGGTTGATCTTGCAGTAACACATTTTCCTCATTTTTAGCTCCATTTAAGCCAAGAAAGAACAGTTCTTTATTGTTTCTGATTTAGTTGCAAATGAACTCTTAATTGATTAAAGTGTTTGTGAGCTGGTGTTTTTTTCTCTTAATTGGCAAATCAGTCTTATGCTTCAAGCATAGCAACAAATATGGCTTTTATATACCGGTATTTATTTTATTTTAGGAGCCTCCTAAAGAAGACTTGACGGTTTCTGAAAAGTTTCAGTTGGTTCTTGATGTAGCACAGAAAGCACAGGTTTGACCCTTGTTTAATTTTTGCTTGTGACTCAATTATTGTTTTGTTTACAATATTGTTTCTTAACTCTATCAAGCAAATCAAAAGGTCATATTTCCAGGATTTTCCTTAAGGCTAGGTTCACAGTAGTGCAGCTGCAATTTGATCAGATTTTCAGTGCAATTATATAGTGCAAATTTTTTTTTTTTTTTTTTTTTTTTTAACACTAGTGCATTTCTATTTATCCCTGCTGTCAGGGTTCAACCATGTGCCCATAAGCACAACCTGGCTCAACAATGCATCCAAATGGAAGGGAAGGGCTTGTCACTGAATATGTCACAGTGCTTAAAAACTTTATTCAGGCAACACAGATCCACAGCTTGATGCTCCAATGTATTTTGCCCAAAAGGCCTTAGACATGACTAAGCCCTTTTGGGAAAAACACAGTGGCGCTGGTGGATGGATGTCATGCTGTAGATCTGCGTTACTTGAGAAAAAGTAGTTTGTTTTTTTTTTTTGGTTTTTTTAAGCACTGTGACATCATTAGTATGCAGCTCTTTCCTTCCATTTGGACCACTTGTTGAGGCAGGATGTGCTTAAGGGCAGGCATCCAATCCAGACCAGACGATAAGAGCAGTGGAAATTTTGGATTGATGAGATCTGCTGCTGTGAAGGTATTTGCATGTCAGTGATTTTATTCAGGCTAAAACTAAGTTGTTAATTGCTGATTTACTTTTAGGGGTGCCATGCAAATCATTCTTTTTTTTTTTTTTTTTTTTTTTGCTTTGCATTGGTTTAATGGAATTTTTTGTAGTCCATTTTAAGTCTGCTCCATCATGTTCTCATTGTTTTCTCATAAATACGCTAACACATCCTATCTCTTTTTAAATGTAGATGATAAACTTTAGATATGTAAAATGAATTTTGTTATTTACATGGCAATATTTTTGTGTTATCTGAAGAGAAACGTCCCCTCATTTATATGCATTTTAATTAATAAAGCCAGTCTTTACAACCTTCATTAGAAAGGGTCAAAAATGTTCTTGATCTTTCTGATAGCTCTATTTCACTTGTCAATCAGTTTATACATCTAGGTATTGGGAAAGCTTTCACCTAATTTGGCAGAAGCTCCTTCCACAGTCTTGTTTTACCTTACTATATTTTTGTATTCATTGCACTGGGAGAAAACATTAGGGGAAATGTGTAACAATCGTTAAAAAAAAAAAAAAAAAAAAATCCTAATTTTACAATCCAATTAGTTTGAATGCTCTATGTCTGGCACATACACTTGATTTTTAAACCCTTTATCTTTTTTTTAATGCAGAACCTGTTTGGCAAGATGGCAGACATACTGGAAAAAATTAAAAAGTATACATTTTATTTCTTTTTAAATTTTGTTTTGCAAGAAAAATGTATGAACTACTCCATAGTAACCTACAATTCTGTTATTTACTTTTCATTTTGCAGTTTGTTTATGTGGGTACAGCCAGAAATTACTCAAAAACTGTACATCTGCTTATGGGCAGCCTTCATAGCATCATGCTTCTGTCCATACAAACTGATTGGACTCTGCATGGGTAAGTCTTCTAAATCGAGGATTGGTTCCATATCATGCAGTATTGATAAAATCTTTGAAGTTAACGTGATCTTAAACCCTCATTTTTTTAAAATGATATTAAAGGCTAACTTTATTGAATATTATTTATTAAAATTAAAAAGTTGTTATACTTGCATGCACTGTTCAACGATATTGTACAGAGCGGTCCCTTACCTCTTTGGTTGTCCCCTGCTTGGCACTGTCTGTTCTTTCTTTGTCTGAGTACCTCCATAGAAATCTGTGTGCTATGGGGGCACCCGTGAGGGCATGCTGCTGAGCCAGTCTGTGTGTGTCCTTGCCATGTTCCCCCTCTCCACTCCCATCTCACAGGATTTGTCAGACAGCTGCATAAACATATGACTCCCTCTGCTCTTGGTGAATCCAGGGAGAGTGCTGCTGCAGCCAGAGACGGCGCTGGACAATGAGAGGAGACGGGTAAGTGTTTAGGGACAAGCAAAAAACATAGTGGGACATTTTATACCTTTAAGGCAGGCAATACATTAAGCTAAAACATGTTTTGACTTTATAACCACTTTAGGCACTTTCAGCATTGCATTTCATCGCTTAGTATGCAGCTTTTTTATCTTTTAATCCTTGCTATGTTCCAGTTTAAGCTGGTTTAGTGACTGCTGCCTCAGGTTTCCTGTTTCAGGGTGGGTCCTTTCTCTTGCACATCCTATGGAGCCATCCTTTCATACAGGGAACTATTGTTTTGTCTCTCTACACTGTGTGCATCAATAGAAACATAGCCCAAAGCTGGCCATGGACATGGATTTGTGGTTTATTTTTATTTTATTTTGATCAGCAAGAAATTAATGGATTCCCCCATCCACACATACAAGGTGGATGAGTAAATCCTCTCTGCTGTGCTGTTTTATACTGACAGCGGGACTGCTCTGCTGAGCAGCGCTGCAGCGTTGGCTTTTTATGGCTGTTTTTTACTTTGTGTAATGAAGGACAACCGCTTGCTGACATATATCGATGTTCCAGCTTCAAGTCTGTCTCTCCTATGCCCAAAACTTTTTAACTGAAGAAAAATGTTTGTAACTGAGTAAAATGCTTTCAGTCTATGCCCAATGTCTGAAAGTGTCAAAAAGAAATATGGTCTATGTAACAACCTTGTGGTTACATTTGTGTGATCTTTGATCTGTACATGGCATCAATACTATCTTCCTGCAGTGAGATGGGGACTTCCTGTCCCACTCCTGGAACAAAACAGAGTTGGGCTGAGCACTGCTCAGCCATTTCTAAACACAAGTACAAAGTTTCTTTTGATTTGCTGAGGTTCAGAGCATGACATCTGCCCGTCTCTCCACTTCAGCCAGTAATAGGAAGCCTTGTATTCATTTAGAAAATACAAAGCTTCCTATGTATGGCTGAGCAGCGCTCAACCCAACTCGAATTAGTTCTGGGTTTGGGACGGGAAGTTCCTGTCCCACTGCTGGAGAACAGGGCTGTATGGTATGCTGTATGTACCTGATGCTACATATAGTTTTTAAAGAGCTCACAATGGGCGCATCTGATAGTGAAAGTAATAGAAAACTGATTGTTCCAAACTAACTTTTTTAACCACTTCAATACCGGGCACTTATACCCCTTCCTGCCCCGGCCAGCTTTCAGCGCTGTTGCACTTTGAATGACACTGTACCCATATGAAATTTTTATCATTTTTTTCACACAAATAGAGCTTTCTTTTGGTGGTATTTTATCACCACTGAGTGTTTTTTTTTTTTTTTGCTAAATAAAACAAAAAACACCTAAAACCTTTGAAAAATAAATGCACTTTTCTTCATTTCTGTTATAAAATTTGCAAATGAATAACATTTCTTCATAAATTTAGGTCAAAATGTATTCTGCTACATTAATAATAATTGAATTTGTATTTTTTTTTCAAATGTTTCTATTTTTTAAATTTTTATAAAATTTTTTCTTTTTTTTACGATTTCATTTTTCAGCACACTGTGACCAAAGCAATACAATGTTACCATAGTAACATTAAACTGCTCTGGGCACGTAATCAGGATTTTTTTTTTTTTTTTTTTTAACACATTATGATTTGCTAATACCAATATATTTCATTGATATTTGCAATCCTTGTTACTGAATGAAACTGATACATTCAGTATTTTGTTGTGATTAGCTGTGATTGCGCAAAGCTGATCACATGATACAGATGGGCTGTGATTAGCCCTGTCTGTATCATGTGACTGCCTTGACCAGTCACCGCTAACAACATAATTGTATACAATGGATGGCATGACAGGAAGCTATCCATTGTATACAATTGACATGTGATCTGCTGTGATTGGTCACAGCGGTCACATGATACTGGCAAGGGGCCAGTGTAGTGATATGTCGGCTGTGTCCCGTGGAGGCTCGTTTTGACAGGATGTCATATGACACCCAGTCACAAAGACGATTGGCCGGGCGGGAAGGTGTTAGTGACAGCTGGAGTTTGGCTTTAAACTCCCGCTTTTTTTTTTTTTTTTTCTTTAAAAATAATATGCACTCACCAGCCACTTTTAGGTACACCTGTTCAATTGCTTGGTAACACAAATTGCTAATCAGCCACTCGCATGGCAGCAACTCAAAGCGTTTAGGCATTTAGACATGGTGAAGGTGACTCGCTGAAGTTCAAACCAAGCTTCAGAATGGGGAAGGAAGGGGATTTAAGTGACTGATTGTGGCATGCTTGTTGGTGCCAGGTGGGCTTGTCTCAGTATTTCAAAAACTGCTGATCTACTGGGATTTTCATGCACAACCATCTCTAGGGTTTATAGAGAATGGTCCGAAAAGAGAAAATATCCAGTGAGTGGCAGTTGTGGGATGAAAATGCCTTGTTGAGGTCAGAGAAAAATGGGCAGACTGGTTCAAGATGATAGAAAGGCAACAGTAACCTAAAAAAAAAACAATTGAAGGCATGGATCCATCTTGCCTTTTATCAACAGTTCAGGCTGGTGGTGGTGTAAAGATGTTGGCGATAATTTCTTGGCACTGACAAGGTGTACCTAATAAAGTGGCCGGTGAGTGTATGTTGTGTAATACTGATATACAGTATAGTACTTTAACTTTCTATGCAATTTATTCTACTAGTAAGACACATTTAACCCATAACACATTTCTATACCCCTTCTTTAAGGGCTTTAGCGGTTATTTTGGTCTGGTAATATGGTGTTGCTAAACATTTATTAATTATTGCTCTTGTCTACTAAATATTTATTATAAAAGTCAGATAAAACTATCACAATTTTTGTATAGAAGTAGATTGAAGGTGTAAACTGAAACATTTCAGTTTCTTTACCGTACAGTAGTCTTTTATACATTGTATCACATTTTAAAGTACAACTGCTTTTAAAAGAGAAGGATGACCAAAGCTTTTTTTGGCCATACTTCTCTTCTGGATCACAAGAGTGCACTTAGATCTGCACTCCTGTGACTCAGTTTCAGTTGACAAACAGGCTAAAGACCGCTGTCAGCTGATGTCAGAGAGCCAGGCCGGGCTCTGCAGTGATCCCAACATTAATGTTGGTATCCACCCAGATTTCTGACAAGCAGCTGGCTCACCTATTAGAGTTGAGCCAGCTGCTCTCACTCACTCCACAGTTTGGTGTTCTAGTGGGTGCTGGAGGGGCAGTGCAGAGCAGAGAGCCGGAGACTGACAGTCATGTTTTCTGCTCAGTGAAGACCAAGAACTGAGCAATACGTGGTCATGTGATTGCTCAATTCTCTTAGAGCCAGCGGGGGGACAGCTTCAACATCGGATCAATACTGCAGCCATCTAGGTTAGTATGAATGTGTTACTTTTTTCATATCCCGCACTTCTCCTTTTAATTGGGAATAACAAGCAACTTTATAAATCAAACATATTATCTCTGCTTTTTTTGGACTCCTTGTTGGTATTTCTGTATTTTTCTGCAAAGTTTTGTGGTGCTACTTACATTGTTTAATTGTATGCTTTAACATGCATCATTTGTAAGATACATATCCAATACCATTACTTACACCATATTGTGTTTTTATACAGGGCTTTATGCTGGTATTAAGTTTTTTCTCATAGACTTTGTTTTCAAACGTTGCCCGCGACTTCGAGACAAATATGACACTCCTTACATTATTTGGACAAACCTACCCACCGACCCACAGCTTAAAGAGAGAACAAATGCAACTGTGTCAAGACGGGTAAGCCTTGTGAAAGGGTATAAATGTTGTTTACCTCTTCCAGTATAGTTACTCTTACAAGCATAAGATGCCAGTGCTCTAAAATCTAAAATTATTCACAATTCTAACATAAAAAAAAACATAGTTAAAGTATTTTGTCATGCTTACTAAAACAATTTAGAAAATTTCTTATCTGAGCCACATAGGTAAATTTAATGATTCGGGACAAGTAACATTTCACACAGAATTCTGGGGGAAAAAGGCATTCATTTTGTGCACAAATACATTTTGCATGTGACTTGGAAAATATTGCATGCAGTGTTTGGCCCATATTTCCTTTGTGCACTCTCAGGTGTGGCATGATTTGTGTGTACCTTTATTTTGCTACTCCTGTGCTTATTTTCATGCTGTATAATATGCATTTGGGGGAGGGGGTGTACCTGATTTAGTTTACTTTTCAGATTTTAATTTACCAATATTGGAAATTTTTAGAATAAAAATATCAGGTCATGTAATTTCTATGAAACACGTTTTTCTTTTTATCTCCACTACATGGAATTCTCTGATTTGTTAGTTTCTGGATACTTTTTGTTAATTTTTCTCAATTACTAAATCTATAGTCCCCAAAATATTTTACTGTTTAAAAAAAAATTTCTCCTTGTAATTTCCTGTGCACTGAACAGAAATCTCAGATAAAATCAGCCTTCCCAGTTCTCTTTTGTGATATACAGGACACCTCCCCCAAATGTAATGGAGAGGAGGAGGTGTTTTAGTCTCTGGAGAGCAGCATAGGGTAACAACGCTACTCCTCACTAGAGAAAATATGAGTGAGTATTGTCACTCTTGGACAGAAAATCAGAAAAATCACAAGAAATTTTAAGGAGGGAAAAGAAAATAAGTTAAACCTGGCACACTATAGGCAGACTCAAGGCCAGAAAATACAGGTTTGGTGTCACACCAGTATGCAAGCCAATCTCTACACCAAAGCCAAAACCTGAAACAATCCAATTTAACAAATAATTCAAAAAGTCACAAACCACAAATCCTTTATCTAAGTATATCAAAAGCTAAATTATATAGCACTTGTAAATAAATGCAGATTTAAAACAGTGGTAGAATTTAACCACTTATCCAATTATGACTTTCTCACATGCGTGGTAAAAGCAGCATTTGTTTTGCTGGAACAAACTACTTACTTAGAACCCCCAATAATTATACATTTTCTAAAAGAGGCCCTGAAGATTACACTTGTGTCTGTTGCAAATTTTTATGTTTCATGATATTTGTGCAGCCATATATCAAACACAAATTTTCAGGAAAAATGCATTTAGATGAATTTTAGTGCTCACAAACACAATCTAATACCCAATTATCCATGGGCAATGCTTTAAAAGCCTTTACAGGTTATCTGTTTAGAGTTAAATGTGAGCTCTGGCACTAGAATTTCTTCTCCCACTCATGGCGATACCACATGTGTGGTGCATTGACTGTTTACGTATGCATGTGGGACCTATGGCTACACTTGCATTTTTTTCTGGGGGGGGGGGGGGGGAGAATGTTAAAATTCTCTTTAATTTAAGCTTTTATTTTTATTTTTTTTCATTTAACTTTATTGCCATCACATTTATTGCCATTGGACAACACTCCTTGTGATAGCTTGGGCAATGACAGGTACTCTTTATGAACAGTCTAACATGGCAGAAAACGGGAAGTGCCAAAATCCTCATCACTTTTGGCCTTATTTGTCACAGAGGAGATTGTGGTACAAATGTTGCTCCATCTCCTCTGTGGGCAGCCGACCAACCATTTACAGCGATTCCAGGCCTGAGACTGGAGATTCTGGAAACAATGGTAGTGGTGGTGGTGGGGGGGGGTTCTTCTGAGCTCCGTAAAAGTGATCAGGCCACTTTTACATAAAAGCTGATCACAGGGTCTGAAAAACAGTATCAGGATCATGGCTACAATTGCTTCTATCCAGGATGTGTATATATACATACACTGGACAGGAAGTGGTTAAAATATCCTGAATCAATTGTGTGTTCTACCCACGTTAGTATATGGTTCTTCCCAACTGATGCCAAAAACTGGAAATAATAACATCCCTCTCATTGACAAAGTAGAGAATATCTCACAGCATTAATCAAGAGATTAATACGAGTAGTTACAGTAGGTTCCAAACATGAACATCTAGGTCCCAGCACTAAGCAGCTGTAGATAAGAACCCTTAAACAATAGAAACAATGTATAGTAAAAAAAAAAAAAAAATCCTTGTACATGGACATAAACAATCTATAGTAAAGTATCCAAATGGGAGAATGCAAGGGTCATGAGGAGCAGGTATTTGCTAAGAAGCTTGCATCTCCAAGTGTGCTGCTAGTGCTGGTTGGGACCCGGCAGACATACCAACTAGGCACCTTCCTAAAATATGGTAAGACAATCCTGTATGCCAGACTTGGCAGAAATGAGCTAAGATTTAGTGAGTATGGCAGTTATACGTAAAATATACACTATATTGCTAAAAGTATTAGGATGGCTGCCTTTACACACACATGAACTTTAATGGCATCCCAATCTTAGTCCGTAGGGTTCAATATTGAGTTGGCCCACCCTTTGCAGCTATAACAGCTGCATTTCTTCTGGGAAGGTTGTCCACAAGGTTTAGGAGTGTGTCTATGGGAATGTTTGACCATTCTTCCAGAAGTGCATTTGTAAGGTCAGGCACTGATGTCAGATGAGAAGGCCTGGCTCACAGTCTCCGCTCTAATTCATCCAAAAGGTGTTCTGTCGGGTTAGGCTACGTTCACACTAGCCTTGTTTGCTAGCGGCAGAAAGGCGTTTGGGAAGCGTTTTTACCGCTTCCCAAACGCCTCAGACAATTCTGCCCATTGCAGCACATGGTGCTGTTCTAACGGAGCTAAAAACGCTATAGGGGCGTTTGGCAAGCGTTGGTAAAACAGTCAAGTGTGAATGAGCCCTTAAGGTCAGGACTCTGTCCAGGTCAGTAAAGTTCTTCCACCCCAAACTCGCTCATCCATGTCTTTATGGACCTTGCTTTTTGCACTGGTGCACAGTCATGTTGGAAGAGGAAGGGGCCATCCCCAATATGTTCCCACAAAGTTAAGAGTTCCTTTCACTGGAACTAAGGGGAGAAGCCCAACCCCTGAAAAACAACCCCATACCATAATCCCCCCTCTACAAAACTTTACACTTGGCACAATGCAGTCAGGCAAGTACCGTTCTCCTGGCAACTGCCAAACCCAGACACGCCCATCAGATTGCCAGATAGAGAACCGTGATTCATCACTCCAGAGAACACGTCTCCACTGCTCTAGAGTCCAGTGGTGGCGTGCTTTACACTATTGCATCTGCTGCTTTGCATTGCACTTGGTGATGTAAGGCTTGGATGCAGCTGCTTTGCCATGGAAACCCATTCCATGAAGCTCTCTACACACTGTTGTGCTAATCTGAGGGCCACATGACGTTTGGAGGTCTTTAGCTATTGTCTCTGCCGACAGTTGCCGACTTCTGCGCATTGTGCGCTGACCCTGCACTGTCATTTTACGTAGCCTACCACTTTGTGGCTGAGCTGCTTCCACTTTGTTATAATACTACAAACAGTTGAACAGCGGAATATTTAGTAGCAAGGAAATTTTACGGATGGACTTATTGCAGATGGCCACTTACGGTACCAGGCATGAATTCACTGAGCTCATGAGAGCGACTCATTCTTTCACAAATGTTTGTAGAACCAGTCTGCATTCCTAGGTGCTTGATTTTATACATCTGTGGCCATGGAGGTGATTGGAGCACCTGAATCCAATGATTTGGAGGGGTGTCCCAATACTTTTGGCAATATAGTATACCTGCTCAGGACTATACTTAATAGCTCCAAAACTAGTGGATCACAATGTTGTAAAAGATGTGTAGTGGTATGCAGCCCTCTACTGTGAGGCAAGACATGGCAGCCATACAATATTACCCTGTCCACCTATAGTGTACAAAGGATCTAAAAAATCTACACACCCCTGTAAAATTGCCAGGGTTTTGAGATGGGCTGTGGGGTAGGATGGCAAGATGGGAGCATTTTCTTACTAAGAAATACATCCAAGTAACAAGACCGGTAACATGCCAAAACTTACATTAAGTTTGCCAAAAATGTGATAAAATGTGTTATGGTGTGATAAAACCAAGAGTGAACTCTGGCCATAATTCCAAAAAGTATATTTACCCCTATAAAATGCACAACAAGTGCAGCTAAACAGTAAGTTGAACTAACCAACTGATGTTCCGATGTGGCTGGTGCTTGTGATTGAACCATCTGTACTAATAAGGCACAATAACGATAAATTTGTCAACCATCACATAGACATATAGCCTTTCAGGAAAATTCAGTGCCTGCAAAAGATCTCAGCCATAGAGCATGGAGTTCAATGAGTATGTGTAGGTAAACTTCCAGAGTGTCCTGGTGTCCAAAATTGAGGCCTATCATGATCTTTTGGATATCTAGCAGGTTCCTTGGCGGTTTGTATGAAATTGATAAGTATATTCTATTTTTGAACGCTTTGAACCCCGAGGGCAAGATTGGGATATTTGTTTTCACTGTCTAAATTGGGCAATGTGTATGATCCCTGGGGTAAGAAATAATGCTATAAGTGCTTGTAAAATCTGAGTTTGAGAGGATATCTCATAATGTATATAGAATATATTATGGCAGAAGGCATAGACAAAAGTAGAATATTGGCAGTACACTGTGTGATTTAGAATTTAGTTTTGAGTTGGTTTTAATACCAGTGGTACAATTACCTGTTGGTTTTTCAGATCAATAGCAGGATTGACTTTTTGTCTACCCTAAGCCCAGGTGACTTTTTGCAATGGTATTTAAACTTCATGCAAGAGACGTCTTGGAAAAGATAAGGGGGGTGTTTGTGCATATGTATGTACAGGTGCATCTCAATAAATTAGAATTTCATCAAAAAGGTAATTTATTTCAGTAATTCAATCAAAAAGTTAAACTCATATGT